ATGAGAGAAAGGACAGCCCATAGCAACAACTCCACACATGTCCAGCTTGGCCAGGTTACATCATTGCAGTACCCCGTGCAGCTTGCAGGCAGCTACAATGCCAAGAGTCTTGCCCCACCGTTTCACTGCTCCTATAACCCTGGGAAGGGACCTCATGCATCTTGTTTCTTTTGAGTCTCTTGAGTCTTGTGGTCCTCCTTGATGCCCCCTAAAGGGAATATTTCAATCCAGAAGGAGAGACAGAACACTTACTGTTGTGGTTAGTGATCCATATCCATGTGCCTTCTTTCTCACAGAATTTCCTCCCTTTCCAGGCTGTGTCTTCCCCTTCTTGCCTTCTGGTGGTGGGCATGCCCAGAAGACTCTGAAGTAGGGCCAAGTCTTAGCTATGAGTTTCTCTACTTGCCACATTGGCCCATTGGAGTCTCCCAAGGACAGAAGACAGTGGTGCTCATTCATTCCTGTGGAAGAATGAAAGGCCAAGTTCTCTTGACCCTGCTTTCTCCCTGACCTCACATCCTGTTGCTTGCTATTTTCCTGCTCCAAGAAGTTTCTGAGACCCTCAAATAGGTTACATACCCCCCTCTTCTTTCATGATTCTCTGAGACTTTCCATATATATAGTCTGCTACTCCTCTTCTTCCTCCTCCTCCTCTTCCTCCTCCTCCTTTTCCTCCTCCTCCTCTTCCTCTTCTTTCTTCTCCATTTTAGGTTTTTATGAGGCCGAACCTTACTATGCAGCTTAAGCTAGCTTGAACTCAGAATCCTCCTGCCTCATCTCCCTAAGTACAAGGATTACAAGATCACCATACCCCATACCATCCAAAATTTATTACTTAGCCAAACTACCTAACAAGTGTTTACCTCCTATGTAACATTTCATTGGAAAGTTTGCCAAGAACATATTCTTAGTGAATAAGTGGGGAAAGGAGAGTAGGCTCAGCAAAGAATATGTCAGCCTAACATGGGGAAGAGGAGAGAACAATGCCTTGGATTGTTAGGATGGGCCTAGTGTTGGCATTTAGTCTAGGTTCCTCCCCACAGTTACCTGGCAACAGCCAGGTATGCCTGACTCACTATAAAAGAGGCTGCTTGCCCCCTCCTCTCTCTTTTGCTCTCTAGCCTGCTCCTTACCCTCTCTTTCTACATTCCCCTCCCCCTTCTCCATGGCTGGCCTCCACTCCTCTATTCCTCTACTCCCTCTCTCTGTCTTTCTCTGTCTCTACTACTCCCTCAATTCACTTCCCCATGCCCTAAATAAACTCTATTCTATTCTATTCTATACCATCATGTTGATGGTCTTTCAGGGAGAAGGGTTGCCTCAGCATGGCCCACAGAGGCACTCCCTTCCCCCACACCACACTGTGCCTCCACCAAACATATCCTCAATTTCTCTTTATTTTTTAAAAAAACACAACACCTAGAAAATCTAGTTCAGATGAAACCGGAAGACAGAGGTTCAAGAGACCAATACCAAGGAGATGGACTAGGCAGACCCCCTAAAGTGTCTGTACAGAATAAGAGGAAACTGATATTCCTGGTAGAATTTAGGAATTTAGGCTCACAGACAAGCAATCAACAGATAGAAATGAAATTTCTCTTCCAGAAGAAAAAAATATCCAAGAAATCATCATCTATCGTATAATGTTTACATAGATACAAACTGAACAACCAAATATTTATAACACATGGTGGCTGGGATGTATGTGCCTATGTGGGTGTCTGTGTGTATGAATATATGCATTTGCTTCAGAGAAGCAGCTGCTAGTGAACAACTAACACTCGATTATGTGAAATAGATGCTACCCAAAATAAAAAAAAACAAAAGCATTCATTCAGAGCTGGTTGCATTGCACTTTGCATTTCTCTCCCAGAGTCCATTCCCTGATGACTTTTTCCATGTTCCTTTCTCCTTTCCTCCTGGCCCCTGTAATGTTTAATAATGGCTTCCTTTTGCTAGGGAGGGCCCACTGATGGACAAGCATGCTAGTGCATTCACCTGTGTCAGCATTCTGTCTAAACTCCACCCCCACAGTTACCTGGCAACAGTCAGGTATGCTCTATCCTACAGTTACCTGGCAATAGCCAGGTACGGGACCCACTATAAAAGGGGCTGTTTGCCCCCTCCTCTTCCTCTTGCTCTCTTGTTCTCTTGCTCCTCTCTTGCCCTCTTGGGCTCCTCCCTTTCCTCCTCCCTTCCCCATTTCCTTTCCTATCTTTCCATGTATTCATGCCTCCCCTCTGCCTTTCTCTGCCTCTACTACCCACTTAACTCCTCTCTCCATGCCCTAAATAAACTCTATTCTATGCTATTCTGTCCTGTGGCTGGTTCCTCAGGGGTAAGGGATGCCTTGGCATTGGCTCACTGAGACATCCCCTTCCCCGATACCTGCCTACACCCCTATTGAAAATGTTCTTCTCTCTTTATATTTTTATAAATACATAAGCCCAATGTACCTGGACCCTCCCTAAGCACAACATCAGTTAAAATGCTGCCTCATACAAAAATATGGTAACCTTCTAGAGAACTCTGTGCTACTGTTTTTGTTTAATTTCCTTCTGATAACAGCTTTTTTTTTTTTTTTTTGCATGTGACATGCTCATTCCTTCATTCTTTCTGGTGAAAAATCCCCATTTCGTGAGCTGGAGTTAGTGTGGACTCTGTTATAGATGATGTGAATCATTGATGTAGGTCCCTGGAGGGTAAGGAGCATGACAGTACTACAGCTTACTTTTTCCATACATGAAGGAGCCCATGGATTCAAATACTCAGCCAGCACTTGTCTTGAACTGTCATACCAAAAGAAACAGTCATTTTCATTCATCTTTAAATCATGTGTCTTTTTTAGAGTACAGAGTTCATAAAGTCTATAATCTGAATTTTTTTCCATTGACAGACATTTTTTTATTTTTCTGGAGTAAATATTAAATGTACTATGTTGTGCCTTCCTATCCTAGCTCAGAAAATATTCAACCACAGACTTCTAGAAGTGGATAGAAAGTTGAATTCAATACCCACTAACATGCCTTCTGTCTCTGAGACCCTATAATCCTAATGGCATGAGAAACTTCATTAACTTGAAACCTGATAGTTTGTAGTTTGTAATAATCACACTGGGCTCAAGTTGAGGTGTGCTTTTGTGCTAATAAAAAGACTTTCTAGGCAAGAAATGCTCCTGAAGATCAATCTGAGGTCAAAGATCTCTGATATAATACACAAATAATTTGTACAACAATTAAGGTAGTTTCTTAGAGTCTGCTTTCAAGTATATTCTTCTACTTAGCAAATCTGGTTTAGCATAATTTTGAAACTAAATCTGCTTGACTTTTCACTAATTCCATTAGCCTCTCCTCCCAATTACTGTGAACTGGAAGAGTTCTGTCACATGCAGCCACCTTACACACAGATGTAAAAGATGATTTAAATGGGTTCCTTCTAACCCAATGAACACAAAGACAAGTCCCTGGGGATGGATACTGCCTTGATAGTCAGATCTGTAACTCTGACAGGCTCAGCATCTGACCACTGTGCTTGGTTTGTTGATCACCTCTCCAAAGGCTGAAACCCTTTGAACTACAAAGATGGCTGATGGAGTGAAATGACTGAGCAGTCGATATTTTTTTTCCTTACCTATGTGATAGGAGTGGAAATTCGTCCTCTGGTAACAGGAGGAAGCCTCAGAGGAATGTTATTGAGGGACACTAAGTTCTAGATTAGATAAAAATTAATTGGGTAGTAACTCTATAATGTCTGAGGAGAAAATAGATGCCATCTTCAACTTGCGTATTTCATAGAACGATGACTATACCATACCTCCAGTCTTCCAATCTGTCTCTGTCTAGATCTGATTATATCTGACTTTTTATTTTAGTACAATATTTTAAGAGAGACTTTGGACAAACAGTAGCAGGTTGAAATGAGAGTAAAGGAAAAACCCTAGAAACTATGTTTTATAAGGAATAATTGAAGGAATTTAATAGAAAAACATGTTTTTCTAATAAAACAAAAATGAAAATAATTTCTGAATTTTAGAAATGATTTCAGATAAGAATAGTATTCTGAAATATTTAAAATTAAGAGAATGATTCTGTTTTCTATTTTACTTTACTTGGATTCTTATATTTACCACCCTTCTTCACCCCAATCCCTCCCAACTCCCCAACAACATTAGGTAACAGAGAAAGAAGGTTAGAGGAGAAAAGGGGAATTGAGTTCTTTTTAGACTACTTCCTGATGATTAGCAGGAGTTCCTTTGGGGGCAATCCCAAGGATTCCTATTCAGGATATTTCCAACTTCTTGTTATCTCTTTTCTCTCCACCACTTGATAAACCAGCAACAGCAGCAGCAAGAGCAGGAACCAGCAGGAGGCACAGCAGGCAGCCAAAACTGTAAACTGACATCTAAGTCAAAGAAATGAAAGACCCCCTCTAGATCTTTCTTCAGATACCCACGGAGCAGTGGAGGTAACACCCAACCCTGACCTTACAAAGTCAGTTGACTCTCAGACTGATAAGGAAAACAGGTGTGAGAGAATTCTGTCCCGGGAGTATTTTTTCTAGTGAAAGCCAGATGGATGATAGAAGAAAATTCTTCCCTGGAGAATACATACATCTTTTGAGTAGGTGACGATGCTCATGAAAAGATAAAGGAAGGAACTCACAAATGCTGCCGCAGAACACAAAAACTAGGTACCAGAGCATTCTGGGACTTGGTGGATACCAGTTCTGTTTCAAGTAACACTGCTCCTGAGTCAGAAGGGTGGTCTTCAGACCTGATGAAGGAAAAGACAGCCATGGCTTCTCTCTTGGGGTTCTGGTCTATTTAAACCCTCTCTAGAGTCCCCCAAATTAAACTTTCCTCAACTGGAATAATCGTACCCCTGACAGAACATGCATGAGGCAAATAGTCTGCTACTATAGACAATCTAAAGAAGTCCCATGTCCCACACTTGGGATTAAAACAAAATATGTATACATAACATGACTGGGATTTTTTTTCACATCAGATGGGTAATGTGCCCATGTTTTAACAAGGTTTGTAGGTGGCACATATCATGCAATGGTGTGAACACCCAATCATCACGCTTTATGAGCCAGAAAGGATCACATGACTGGGTTTTTAAAGAATCCAAAACTCTTACTGTATGATTCCAAAAGAAAAAAAAGAGGAAGAAATTAAAAAACCCTACAAGTATTACTCTTCTCACCACTGTGGCCAAATACCTGACAGAAGCAAAAGAAGAGAGATTCCTTTGGGTTCATAATTGCAAAAGCTCTGTCCATCAGGGTATGGTGTCTGGAATAGGCCAGTCAATGGCAGCGGAAACTTGCACTGGTGTCTTCTCAATGGTACCAGCTAAGAAGCGGAGATGAACAGTGATGGCTATTCTTGGCTGTTACCTTAACTACAGCTGGAATTAACTAAAGCCCAAATGACTGGGCACACCTGTGCAGGACTTTGCCCCTAATTATTTGAAGTAGGAAAGTCCACTTCTCATCTAGATCTTTCTAGTTGGGAAGATATACGTTTATTCTGGACTCTTATTCCTTCAGCTGTCAGCCTATGTAAAGAACATGGAAGAAAGAAGCTCTCCGTTCCTGTCCCTGTCCCTGTCCCTGTTCCTGTCTCTCCCTTTTCTTCTCCTTCTCTCCCTCCCTTTGCCTGCTTGCTCTTGGTCTCACTATAAGTCCAATTCCTTCACTGGCATTGGAGCTTACATCTTTGGGAATCCAATATATACTGAAGACCCGCTAAGACATCCAGCCATGTGGACTGAACAACTACTGACCTTTCCTTAATAGACAGCCATTGTTGGATTAGCTGAGCCACATCCTATAAGCATTATAAGAAATCTCATATGCGTGTACACATATATACACATATATGTATATATTCATTATTATATTCACCCTGTAAATTCTGTTCCTCTAGAGAACCATGACAAATGAAGACAAAGTATAACTCTTAAGGGCTCACTACCAATGACTCACCTTTGCCAGCCAAGCCTCAGAGACTGACAAAAGCAGGGGTGCAGAGATGCAAACACCTTGACCTGTGAGGGGCATTTCAGATGCAAAGCAGCAAACTAGGTGTGGTGGTTACTACTACTGCTCTATTGGTCTTCCTGCAGTCCCCTTCGTTGTCTTCCCTTCCACCCAAGCTCATTCAGGCAATGAGTATCAGACACTGGACTCAATTGCTGGGGTTGGATGTGGAGACTGTGGTGACAAAGGCTTCTTCTGCCTTTTAAAAAGGATTCAAAGTAATGGGAGAAATGATTTCCAGTAGTGGGCTAGATAGAAAATTGCTACTTTCATGTTTTTTACTGTGTGTGTGTGTGTGTGTCCCAAAGTCTGGTCTCTCCTACCTCCCTGTCAAACCAAGGGACTAAACTCAGGTTTTCAGGCTTGGTAGCATTTACTTTACCCACTGGGACATTTGGACTGAAGAGTGCTACATTTTAGGATAGAGGGAAAGTAGTTCCCAGGGAGTGACCTCAGGGCTCCTTGACTGTCGCATCAGCAGCTCACTCTCTCACAGTATCCCCAGTGTGATCTAAAAGGGCAGAAAGCTCTGAAAATTCAGTGAAACAAGCACGGGACTGATTAACAAAGGATTCAGGAACACTCTGAATATGTAGCTCTGTGTGGGCTTCTGGGACTTATTCACATGAGGCTACAGGGAAGTGGCTGGGACTCCAATAATCACTCACATGGAGTATTGCTATCAGCACTGCCTAGAAGAGGCTCAGATTGGAATGTAAGCTGATTTAATGGCATGGTAATTTCTGGAATAGTATATCTGTATAGCTCAAAGACATAAAAGAAGATCAACACATAAAAAGTTATAGAAAGAGTATTTTGGTTAATACAGGAAATAAACTCCTGTTGAGGCTGCCCAGCAATTGATTCAGATGGGCTTGAGAGGCATGAGCTCCTACCACAGAGCAGAAATCTGGTATATAAGCCCTTCAGAAATGTGTTAAGGAAAACTCTGGGGATTCGGTGGCACAAACTAGACTGAGTGATCTCTTCTAGCCTTTCAATGCTGAGTTCTGTGATTTCCTGAGTAGTTGGCTCACAGTGCCAGTGGAATGGCAGATCTAGGTAGCCAGGAAATATTACCACAGGGGCCCTCAGGAAACAATCAGTGGGTATTGTGTGTCATCACACTTCTTGCTGAATAACAATTGAAGTGTTTGTTTTACTCTGGCTCCTAGAGTAGGCAACACAGCTCTTTCAAAGAAGGGAAGACAGCTGTGTCGCTTTGATTGTTCTCAAAGCTGGAAGTATGGCTTTTTTCCCCCCTTTGTGATATCTAAGGAATGTGTTTTCTTGTACTTTGAGGTAACTACAAGACTAAGCTTCAAAAAAGAAGACATTTTCAAGCAACTGGAGGGATTATAGGCAAAAGGAAAAGGAAGGTAAGAATTGCACAGAAAGAATGGAAACGTTTCAAACATCACTCCAAACCCAAACTGAAAGTTTTATGACAGGAAATGTTAGTTTCCAAGTGTTGGACTTGGCTCATATGTCCTGGTCTTGCTCTGCTGTGTCAGATGCAATTGTCAATATTTGCAAAAACCAATTAAAGTGACAGTAACATACACACACACACACACACACACACACACACACACACACACACACACACACACACCTTGTGCTGCTGTGCTGCCCAAGCAGTATTTCTTGCCCAGTACCTTTGGCAGTATGTCAAACCCAGATATAGCTTTAGAAAAGAATAATTGGGGCAGATGATTTAGTACAGGACCTGTCAAGGATGGCTCAGTGGATAAAACCTGTTGTGGCCAAGTCTGACAACTTGTATTTGATCCTCAGAATCCAAATGGTGGAAGGAAAGACCTGACTGTACCTGGAAAGATGTCCTCTGGACAATACAAATGCACTATGGCACACACAGTAGGTATATATTTGAAATACTGGAAATTTAGACAACCCTTAGATAATAACATGGGTAACTATTCTATCCCCCACCTCTTGTTAAACAAAGAATGGATAATGAAATGAATGTTTTAATGCCCTTACTTGTTGGACTGTAGGCTGCAGTTTGACCCTATGCCAGACCCTCATAGCCTTGTCTTAGGTTCTGGAGGGTTGTTGACTTTAGAGTAGTAGAGGCTCCAACCTTCCATGTACTTTGGTCTTTGATTGTGAGGCTCAGTAAGATGAAGAGAGATTTTGTTGGCTCATTTGATTACCCAGTTCTTAAAAGTTGGTGATTGGAGCCAGATTGGAAAGTGCTATAATGTGTTTCAGTCAAGTGAATTCCTTTGACATGGTTTCTATTCTGTATAACTATCCTTTAGTAAGTAAATAACACTTCCCAGCATGCTTCTGGAATTAACTTTCCTGTGACCCAACAAAGACTCTTTGCTTAGCCAAGTGTTAATCAGGATTCTGAATCTTCTGTTGGCCCCTCTGTGTATTGGCTTGTAATATCCACCATAGACAATAAATAAATAAATAAATAAATAAATAAACTCTGTTAAGTCAGTTTAGCAAAAACTCCCCATTCTGGATCTGACTTATCCATGGTACCTGCCAAGTGTTCTCAACCTCCACCACTCCTAAGCAGTGGCTATGCTCCCTTGTCTGTCTTCAGCAAGAATTCTATAAGGTAAGTTCATCCACAGTCTCCTTTACCCGATCTTAGGTATTTTTCTATACACTGACATGCACCTTGCTTTCTGGCTATGTGTTCCCATTTCTAGCTTCTGCTGTATTTAGAACTGAGCCAACTCTCTCCCCCACTCTGAGACCCCTTTTCAGCAGTCTCTGTGCCTATCAGGACTGTCCTGAATAAAGTCTTTTTTATCCTGCTTCAACTTCTTACTTTTGGGTTTTTGTTTTGTGTTGTTTCTTTCCTAACATTCTTCATTTTACCTTTCTGCTGATGTAAAAAATATCTTATATGATCCTTACTTTACTGTGGAATAATTTTTCATAATATTGTTTTTGAAATGGGGCCTCTCTTGCCTACTTAATTTTGCATTTAATACTAGAAATTGGCATGGTCATATTTTCTGGGTTAAATTCTTCTCGTGTTCATGTTTGTTGTCATTGGAAGGAGAGGTGGCTACGGGTTTTTAAAATTCTAAGAATAGAATGAAGGAAGGCTTTTAAAGTCATTTAAAAGAGCCATTTATGTGCAAAGAAAACCCAGAGTTACTTAGACTCCAAGAAGAAAATCAAAATTAGGGTATGAGGAGATGGCTTGCTGGCTAAGGGTTCTTTCCACCAAATCCAATGACCAAAACTCACTCCTTAGAACCCATATGGTAAAAGAAAGTTGTTCTCCAACCTTCATATGTACTTACACACATGTTTGCTCAAGCACACAAATAAATTAAAAAATTAACATTCTCCTAATAGTGAAAAGTCTTTATCAAAATAGCTAATTTTAAATGATCACAGAGTTTTCATACTGCTTTTAATAATTAAAGAGCCATATGGATGCTGGGGTTTTCAGGACGGACATGCTGTGAGCTGCTTCTGGGGATTGAACCCAGGGCTGAGGGTATAATAGGAAAGTACTCTGCCAGCTGGATTAGATGCCCCAGCCCCATAATTTCTTCTCTCCCTCTCCTCACCTGTCCCCTTCACTCACTGATTGTCTTTTGAGACCCAGTTTCATGGAATCCAGAAAGGTCTTCAATTCCCTATGCAGCTGAAGATGACCTTAAACTCTTGATCCTCCTGCCTCTACCTGTCAAGTGCTGGGATTGCAGGTGCCTGGTTTGGTACACAACACTTAATTCAATCAATGGAGACTACTGATGAAGAAAGTAAAGTCTGAGAGAGAATAGCTCAGGCTTGTGGAACGACCACTCAAATACCCAACCAACCAGGCCTTTGGGATTTATGGAATACCCCAGGCTTTTCAGGATTTGAAGAAGAGTATTAGCCATTGATGTGTTGTTGGTGGTGTTTGTTTCATTTGCCTAAAACATACTTTGACTCTGTGATGTCTCCACTGTCTAGTTTACTCACAAAAGCCTAAGTGAATGTCTACTGTTTAGGCATTTGTTTGTTCCTGCCAATAAGATCATAATAGCAGATGTGGCCCTGCTTTAATCTGCA